TTCTTTTTAAATTATTTTATGATATCGCTGTTGAATTGAATTTTATGGTTTAAGAAGGCAACACAAAACGTTAAAAAAAAGCCCCTTTCGGCGTAATATAAAATCTGAAAACTTTCAGATTTTTAAATTTTTTTATTTTATTTAATTAATTTTTTTAATTTATTAGTCTAAAAAGGCTTTGTCCCTGAAGGACTATTGTTTTCGTTTTGCGATTTTACGTTGAAAACTTTAAAAGGCTGTATCACTTTTCAAATCGTTTCCACCAAATACTATCGCTCTCAGATTTACTAAAAGCAAGCATAAAAACCTTAACCGGAAGATAAAAACAACATATTTCAATCATTTTAAAGTAAAAAATGTACAATTTACAAACATATAAGAGTAAAGAAACTGAGATCACTGAGCCGGGTAACAGAGTGGATATATATATATATAAATATATTTACATACGTTTGCTGCGGCCGATTGCAACCAAAATACGAGGTGTTATAGCAGTCCTCTATATACAAAATTTCAACGTTCTGATGATACTCGTTTTTGAGTTATGCGAGATACGTACCTACGCACGCACGTACATACGTACATACATTCGTACAGACGCCACGAAAAATTCTCTTCAGAATTAATTTTAAAGCAGTTTTAAAAGAGTATTTTATTCTGTCCTTACGTACAGATATGACGCAAAAACATCGTTAAATTGCATTCGATAGCGGTCAAAATGGATATTTCGTTGAAATATGCTGCCTGAAACTTTTCGCGATTACAATACTTCCTTTTTACTTCGTACAAGGAAGTAAAAATGGATTGCGTCACTAAATAGTGTAAAGAGATTAGCATTCTCAAATCTCTGAAAAGAAGTTAATAATAACTCTAATTTTAAAAAAATCATATTAAATATTATTTACCGATATTATTAGGTGCAATTACTAAATGTTTTTGATTTTACCATACCTTTACGATTCTACAGAGTACTAAGAAACCGAAAATGATAAAAAATTTCTGCTTCATATAAAAGACGAATCACATGTATAGCCTCAAACTTATAAAAAATCTGTTTACTATTTTCCCTCTCTCAGAATAACAAACATTTCGAAACATTTATTTTAGCATGAACCTCGAACGAAGCACTGTTTGAGTTCTCAATAATATAATTTGAATAGAATCAAAGTACCTATTCAAACAGTTTGGCTCAGTTCATGACACAATAGGATCTAAGATATTTTTATTATGTGTCCTGTTTTTCCAAGAACTGTGTACATCTGCCTCGTATAGTGTTTGTTTAGTAAACAGCGAAACGTAGGAGTGTAAATAAAGAATAATAACATATAAGGTATTTCTCCCGCCTTCTTAGCGAGCATTTGTGGTATAGTTGTCTGCCCGCTCGGAGCGTAATTGAGAGGTCTGCGGTTCGATTCCCGGCAAAGGCGTTGCATATTTTCATCTTGCCTGCTTCCAAAAATATCTTGTAGAGACATTAGGATCTTTTTTGGAAGCAGGAAAAATTAACAAAGCCTTCGCCGGGAATCGAACCGCGGACCTCTGGAATACCGGCCCAGTGTGCAGAACCACTACACCACGAAGGCACGCCAAGAAGGTAGGAGAAATACCTTATATATTCCCTCTTTTAAAGGGCGGCTGGGGTCTTTAGGGGACCCAATCGCCAAATCCGGGGTGGGTGGGGAGAAATCCTCATCCACCAGCCTTTTAGTTTGGACGCCACTGTAGAGACATTAGGTAATTTTTGGAAGCAGAAGAGATGAAAAATTAGCAACGCCTTCGCCGGGAACCGAACCGCGGACCTCTCAATTACGCGCTGGGTGTGCAGATTACTACACCACAAAGGCTTGCTAAGAAGACATAAGAAATACCTTATAACCTACATTGGCACCAGTCTACAGTCTCTACAGTGGCGCCCGAACTAAAGAGTGTCGGATAATGATTCTCCTCACCCAGGATTTGGCGATTCGGTTCCCTTAAACCTCAGTCGCCTTTTAAAAGGGGGAGTATATTAGGTATTTCTCCCTCCTTCTTAGCCAGCCTTCGTGGTGTAGTGGTCTGCACGCTCAGCGCGTAATTGAGAGTCAGCTGTTCAATTCCCGGGGAAGGCGTTGATATTTTTCATCTTGCCTGCTTCCCCCCAAAAAACCTAATGTCTCTACAAACATAAATGTATTTTTCATTATCCTATAAGCCTTAACTTGTATATGAATTTAAGAGGTAATAAGCATTCGCTTAAAATTTTTTGATATTTTGAATAAGCATTGGAAAAGTACAAAAACATTCCAGTTGATGATATCAACAAAATTCGTTATATCTCATCTATATATTGTAAGGTATATTTTAATTTTATAACAGTTATTGTAAGTTTATACCTCGTTCCTATCCTTCCTAGCTCCAGATTACATCTCCCTACCAGAACGAGTTTTTAATCGCGTTGAATGCATATGGGAGGTAGAGTAGTGTTTAAGTCAAGTTCAACTGACTTCGCCAGATAGAGAAAGGATTCCTGAATAACGCACGTTTGCTTTTGGGCTTCTCTAAGCTGTTATTACACTCGGCCGTATTATGTGCCTTTTGATAGTTCGCTGGCTAATTTAACATTACGGGCCAAGTAGTTTAGAATTGTATTAGCTTAGGCTAAATTTCTTTAGTTAGTCATTAGTTAGTTCCTATTTCTTACATTTTGAGTTTAAGCCTAAGTGGAGGCTTTTCTGTACGCCTTGAGAAAGGGGCGAACTGCTAAATCTTTATTTTGAGCAAATAAAGGGGAATTAAAACTTCTTGAATTTACGTTTCTGTTCTTGGACTTAAGCGATTATTCGTTTAGCAGTTCACTAGGTTCAGGATTACATTTTACAGGAACTCTATAATATAGCTGGAGGTTTTCTATAGTAACATTAAGAGTTCAGGAAATTCGACGGGAACAAAACATTCATTCGTTAATTTTGGGTGTTTTAAACCGGACTTGCTGTATTGGGGTTTGAGTGTACTTAAATGTACTTCTCACCATTTACTCTTAGCTAAAATCTATGATATTGCTTCTAGTTATTGCTCGTAGCTTAACCCTTTGCAGCACGGTGTACCCGCTCTGGGCACACCTAAAAATTTCCTTCTGTCGCACAGAAAAATTGAATGAAAAAGGATTTAGAAGTTACTATAGGTTACTCTAAACCTTCTTTATTTATAGTAGATGGCACCTCAACACAAACCGGTTCATATATTTTAGCCATGTTTAGTTTTTTAAGACCCTCATTTTTCAAAGAAATCTTCCAGATTTTTTTAGGATATAAAAGGAATAGTTTGAAAAGAAACTTCTATGTTATTTTTTGGCTGTATGCTAATCTCCTTATTCTATATTAGTTTTAAATTTCTTACCTTGAAATCTTGCCTAAAATCGAACGGCGAACCCTCAGGTGTGCCCAGAGTGGGTCTCACCGAAAATCTAGGACGACTGAGAGTCACTGTAATAGGCTTTGGTTTCTTCGTATATCTCATCGGTCAGTTCATCTGACAACAGAAAGGTCAGGTCCACCTCTGTGTAACATAGAAAGGTGGGTCCACACCTGTGTTTCATTTCCTACTTTTCTTCTCTCTCTCTTCTTTTTTTGGGGGGGGAGAGGACGATTGGGTTATCAACTATGAAATTGTTGGGGTGATTTTTCTGAAGGGTCATGAGTAATTTTACAGTTCAGCTGTTTGATTTTTCACTAGAGCGGTTAATTCTCTTATTCTCTTTCGCCTTTTCGTTCAAGGAAGTTTCGTTAGTGCATTACATTTAAGTAGATTTGAGTTGTAGACATTTATTTAATTTTATTTTATAGATTTATAATTTCTTAATTCGTAGTATAAGATGCTAGTTTATTTTTTTCGGAATTTTAATTATTTTCCAAACGGATCTGAGAGGGCTGACCATTTCTGAAGCATTGAAAGTGCTACACGAATTGCTTCAGATAGTGAATCTGATATGGATCCCGGTACATGTGTAAAACATACAATATTGGGTTGTTCTTTTTCAAAAGTGGTGTCACTTTCTTCTAAAAGTACCACCATGAAAAAAAATAGACTAAAGTATAAATATGAAATGTAAATAATGTAAATATCATATAACCAAGCTACTTTTTTTCCCCCATTCATACGCATGTAATCATCATATAACCAAAAAATTGCCTTTTAGGGAATGTAGAGTACCAAGTCTTCCCGTGGCACACCTTAGGTAATGCTAAATATGCTACGGTATTCAGAATCTAGTGTTTTTTAATTGTAGGCAAAATCTCTTACTCTTTTACGTGCTTCCCAGCAATGCTCGTTTCAGCACTCTTTCCGAAGCTCTATCCAATCAGTGTGCTCGCTTCGGGCACACCCACAGAATTAAAACGATAAGTGCTATCTTCACAAAATTTTACTTGTGTACTCCTCTAGACCTAATTAGACTGCCTACCTTTTTTTAATCAAAATTCCAACTTTAAAAGGTAGCGTGCCGGAAAGGGTTGACTAAACTTTGAAAGCACAAATAAGCACATGTGAAAGTCAAATTAAGCACATGTGAAAGTCAAGTTAAAACAACACAAAATATCAGTCTCTTTGACTGTGCTATCTGCCTTTAAATTTTGCCAGATATTTTTTAATCACAGAGTATAACTAGGTCAGATAGCGGGAACAGAAGTAAGCAGGTTTTTTGATAGAATATGCGCGAGGAGCAAACATCGTTGATGGGGTATAAGGCACTAGTGAGGAGTGGACAAAAGTGTTGTATTGGCGAAATCGTCATAACCCATGCGAATTTCGATAGGTATGTATTGCTAATACAAATGCGAAATTCTTCAACATTCATTTTATCCATGAGGTTATGGCGAAAACGCAGCAGTTACTTAAAAGTGATACAAAGATTCAGTAATTTTTTCGTAGTGGTATTGAATAATAATTGTACGAATTAATTGTTCTTGCAGCGATGCTTTGTAATGTGAAATTTATGTGCTCATTAATTTTGTTTCTTTATAAAGTGTGGATCAAGCTTTAGGATTGACGGAAATCCGGGCTCTTCGTCGGCTTCGTCCTCACGTCAATGTGGTACAACTCCACGATATAATCTTGTGAGTATCGCCTTTTGTTCATCTTAGCCATGAATAAATGTAATGTATTACTTTTAATAGTAGAGTGTCGTAAGAGTTCCATTTCTTACGTTCTTCCTGGAGGTGCTAACTACTTACACCACGTGAGAACTTACGAGGAAATGTAAGAATTACTTATAATGTTATTTGTTTTGTCTTTTTCTCTTTCTTTATGTACGGATATATTATTTGCATTTACCGAGCTATAAAAGTGTGTATGTGTATTTAATTATGGCAAAGCACACTAGGGCTATCTGCCTAAGGGGAGGGATGCCTTTGTGGAGGAATTTTTAAGGGAAATTGGCTCGTATACACGTTACACATGGGGAAAACCACGAAAACACCCATGCAGCCAGCCCGTTCGCGGGATTCGAACCTCGGAACGAACTACCAGTGTTCAGCGACTTAACCGCTCGGCCGACTTAACCGCTCCGAGCTATAAAAGAAAATTTAAACTAAATTTAGCTCCGAGCTTAACGCGTTAATAATATTGAAGGATATTTGCATGCGGTTCGTAAAGCGAGAAAGATTATTACGCTCGCGAGAATGGAGGGAAGAACACCAAAAAGAATCAAGCCTCAGGCGAGATTCGAACTAGTATTAGCAGCCAACTTACGCTACCCACTAGACGGTTCAAGGTGATAACCAAAAGTTCTCATATCGGCAAATTCTGTGAAACTGCGAGTTCAGCTTTGCTGGTGGTCATATTAAAATTTAGAAGATTAAGATGTCATATCACTGTACCTCAAAATTACGCTTTTGCAACACAAAACGTGATCAGCTGCAAAAGCAAATTTGCCAAGAAATGGATCTGCGAAAACAAATATACAGTGTCCAATTAATAAAAAATGAATCACTTATTCAAAGGATTGCTTGAGAAGATGCGAAGTGGGGCCATCGAAGTCTTAAAACTTACAAAATATTCACTGTCTGGGGCTAAAACCGAAAATGGACACCAGTGGAATCTTGTCTGCTCGCAAGTTCAGTGGACTTTTGCTATTGGCTCGGGAACAATTTTTCGTCGCCTAGGTGATTCAATAGGTTAAACACAACCATCTGAGATGTTACTCGATTGGTGATTTTCATTTGAGGCGACCTTCAAACTTATCAGCGCTATTATATTCGAAATAGCATTTCCGCACGCGAAATAATAATAACAACCCTCAGCTTTTCTAACGAGAGTCGAGTCTAAATTCGCTCGCAACGAGACTATATATATATATATATATATATATATGAATGATATGTCGTTTTACGGTGGGTTATAACATATTACGTGCAGTCGATCTTCAAATAAAGGATATTGATTTACATGAGGGAAAGTAAACAATTTGCTGTGTTTGGATGTTACTCAAGAGAGAAAGAATGTTTGCAAATTTTCATATCATAAAATATTCAGACAGGGAAAAATATTATATTCTAATAATTTTGTTTTTAATTAATATTTGTGTGCAAAATTAAGAGAATGTGCAACTATGTGTATATTTAAGCGAAATATTGAACCAAGGATACTAATTATGCTGCCGAAAAATTATGAAAATATTCAGTCCAATGCATATACTCGTGCATGTCTGCCGGCTATCATTGTGGAGGCGATATAAGTGCATAAGGGGTTTTCGGCGATTTGTATGCTCGTACTCCTTCACGTCATTTGCTATATTTCTCGCACTAGCTGGGTAAATTCTATTTAAGGTATCTGATAAAATGTGCAGCTACGAACGTATGAATGACGGAATGAGACGGAGAAGCTCTGCTCGATTGTAGGCAAACCAATCCCAAGCGCAGGCGGCTCACTGTAAGCAGGAATAAGTAGACAATCGACGCATACGCGTAATATGCCTAAAATAATTTATTATTTAGATTAAATCTATGGATCGACTTTATACGAATATCTATATCTATATCGATATCTATACATACATATGTACATATATACACACACATACATATACATACATACATTAATATATATATATGTAATAATAAAATTCCATAGTCAGGAATACACTTAAATTTCTAACTGTATGTTCTTTTCATTTTTAACGGCGACGGTCTCTTATTTGAAAGTACGTGGAATTAAATCCACAGCCCCGTAGTCAAGTTGTTTTTCCCGCCTTTTCTACACGTACAGTTATAGAATGTTCTGGAGATATTTAAAGCGAACTGGAATGGCTGACGAGGCTGACGTCATTTCTTGGAAGCTCCGCCTTTCCAGAGACTATAAAAGGACTCGCAAAGGAATATCGGGGTCCTTTCTTTAATGTAACGATGCAGGAAACTTCATATAAAAAGTTATTAGTAGTTCTTTTTTATTTAATCCGGAGATCTGATTTTTTGTAACTGCTATTTCTCCTGAATAATAATAAATGGATCCTGTTTTTTTAAATTTATCGTCTGATACTTTAAGCTTCGACTACATCTATGATTCTTCACCAATCTATTTATTCCGGACAAAAGCTGGTACGTCCCATATATATACTATATATAATTAAAGACATAAAGTAAGAAATTTAGAACTAATATTTCACAAAGACCAGAAATTGAAATTCATAAGTAATAAATTTCAAATAATCATAGAAATGCAGAAATAAATTAAAAAATTTTAAAACCAAAACATATCAAACAAGCAAAACCCCTCTTCAAAAACTATGAAATTAAAAGAAAAATGAGCAAAAACAGAAGAGGAATTCAATCAATCTCAGTGTCGCTTCATCAGGGGGTTGAAATTAATTGAAATCTCTCTTCTACAAAAATCTTTGCTTTTCTGTATCCAGAATTAGCCGATGAACCATTTCAATGTATTTAAATAATAATTATAATATTTCATCCGAAAATTTTGGCCCTTCCCCAAATATTTCTAATTATAAATATTGGAATAATCTTAAATAAAGAGAATTCTATATTTTTTAAAAGAATTTAAAACAAAACTGAAGAACAGAATATCAAAACTTAAATAAAGAGAATTATATATTTAATTAGAGAATTCTATATTAAATAAAGAGAATTCTATATTAAATAAAGAGAATTCTATATTAAATAAAGAGAATTTTATATTAAAAAAGAGAATTCTATATTTTTAAACTTAAATAAAGAGAAAATAAAGAGAATATCAAAAGAACAGAATATTAAAACTTAAATTTTTCACTGAAGTTTTGTTTAAGTGAAAAAAAAAACTTCAGTGAAACAATTTTTAAATTTAAATGCGAATCTTTAAACAGAAAATCCAGTGAACTAAGATGTAGTTGAAAAACCTATTTAGAACATACAAAACGAAATTAAGAACTCCCTTCACTCTCATTAGATTCTAGTTTAAATTTGATAGGCGATACGTACATTTTTGCCATCTTGGTTTCTGTTCTTCGAAAACAAAATACTTTGGCAAGAAATTAATCGCTGAAAAAGCTAAAATCTTGTATGTAAATGTAATTTTGAAACCAAAAGAAAAACGTTAAAATATTTCAAGGAAAATTTTAATTTTATTTTTTAGTCAAAGAAACAGAAAGCAAACTAATTGAATGAAAAAAGAATTATTTTGTAATTACACACATATATATATGGGAGAGTAGCCTAATTTGGACCAATTTTGTATTTTGCATTATATAGAAAGAGGGAAGAAGTGCCAATAAAAATTAAGTAGTAGAAAATAAACTAAGTGTACCTTAAAACCATTTATTAAATTTTAAAAATTATTTATAACGGTGAAAAATGAATTTAAAAAAATCATGTCATCGGTTCAGTTTAGGAAACCGGTTTCCTTATTTGGACCGCTAGTTTCCTAAATTGGACCACGAGCTTTCATAACGGCAATTACAACAGAAGAACCTTTTAATTGCAGCACTAACTCCAGCACACCGAGTATGTATCCAAGCGTGACATTTCATGTATTGCATCATTTCTTCTTCCTTGGTTTCTTCACATTGTAGCAGCTCTAAATATTATTAAAATCTTGTAGTTTAAATAATTTAAATAGATGAACATTAAGGTATTTGTGAATGGCAAATTTTGAAACCAGGCTCGAGTGCCACGTGCGACTCTCGCACGAAGAATGTAATTTATTTTTAAATGTTAGAATTCTTTTTACTTCCTTGTACGAAGTAAAAAGGAAGTATTGTAATCGAGAAAAGTTTCAGGCAGCATATTTCAACGAAAATATCCATTTTGACCGCTATCGCATGCAATTTAACGATGTTTTTGCGTGATATCTGTACGTAAGGGCAGGATAAAAGACCCGTTTCCTCCAAAAAAATTATAAAACTGCTTTAAAATGAATTCTGAAGAGAATTTTTCGTGACGTCTATACGAACATATGTACGTACGTGCGTACGTATCTCGCCTAACTCGAAAACGAGTAGCCTCAGAACGTTGAAATTTTGTATATAGCACTGCTATAACATGTAGATGTGCACCTCGTATTTTGGTTGCAATCGGCCGCACCAAACGTATATAAATACTATATTTATATATATATCCACTCTGTTACTTGGCACAGTAATCTCAGTTTCTTTACTCTTACATGTTTGTAAATTGTACATTTTTTGCTTTACAAATGATTGAATTATGTTGTTCTTATCTTCCGGTTAAGGTTTTTATACCTTTCGTAATTCTGGAAGCAATATTTGTACAATTATCAACAATTTAAAAGCTGTTTAAGTGCGGTTAAGTTTTAAATAACATGGCGGATATATTTTGTTTACATTTGAAACAGCAGAATTGTAGATTTGTTGCCAATCTAGAGAGACTAAGCTTCGCAACAACAAAAATAACGCCTTCATTTATTATTGCGAAATAAATCATGCTGAATCCTTTCTGGAATTTTTTCGAGGAAATAAGCGTTTAAGATTTACTTCGAATACAGATAGAATTTTTAATACAGATATTTTGAGTTTTTATGTATTTTTGCCTTGTCGCGAAGTGAGAACTGAATTAATTGAATGAGAAATACTAAATCGTCTGTGAAAAACTGTTACTTTTCTGTTTTGTTT